ACCACCATCTGCTCCCCCCGGCACCCCTAGATGGCAGCTCTCTGCTCCACACACAGGGCCGTGTTAGCTCGGTGATCTGTGGTTGCGTCAAGAAGGGCATCCGGCGTAAAAATAATGACCAAGTCTTGGTGCGACTTAGTTCACTGTGGTGACCCCTGAAGAAGGGAGCAGCCGAAAGAAGAAGAAAAAATTATATAAGTCTGGGTCTTTCTGTTATTCGTTGTCTGGGCATCGGCAGGTGAGATCTCCTGAGTCCCTAATGTTTCTTGGTGTTTCTACATGCTTCTGTGCTAAGTTTTGCTGCCATGACAGCTCCTTTATTTTGCATCATTAAAGTGTCTCTTCTTTTACCACCTTGTCTCCGAGTCCTACCTGCACAATTGGTTCTGCTCTCTAAACCACCCATTCTGACATGAAGCATAACATGGACCCAACAATACTAGAATACAAGCTATTAATAAATGTACAATTCAAAATCTCAGAAATATCTTTTAATCAGTAGATCAATGTTAAAATTATCTGAATCTTCCCTGATTAATCATGTGTTCTTTTTCTTTTTCTTCTCAAATTCATTGAGTTTTCCCTGTCTGGAAAATGTGAAAGTCATTTCCCAGGTTTTTCCTTATTTCCAGAGTTGCTGCGAACTCTGACATACTCCAAATGCCACTAATTGTGCAATAAGTTTGCCTTAAACTTTATGTCAGCACTGTTTGTCTGTTAGCAAAGTATCTCCTGAATCAAGAGACTCATTTAATTGAAACTCTTAGAACGTAATTATTGGCTGTGCATTTACAACTGATTGGTTTTTGAAGTCAACCCAATTCAAGATTACCACCACAACTAATTAAGTTAGCCAGCCCAAAATTGGCTTTAACTCAGTCAGTTTTATAGGTATTAAGCAAAAATAACCATGAGGTAAAGCTGAGTGTCATTCATGATATAACATGTTACAAGATCTTAAATTAGACTGTGCATAACATCATTGACAAGATTTTACCAAAACAGCTTTAACTCCATTCCCTCTCACCATAAGATGGTCTTTGTTTAAACAAAAATTGAAAAGCAATATTAATCCCATCAAGGAATGCTAGGCTTTAATTAAATCATCAATAACAAACATATTTTACATATACATGTAGAAAAATATTTATTAGGATAATCTTATTTGGCATTACCTGAAAATTTCTCCTGGCCACAAAATAACGCATTCTCTGAATAACACGGATGGCTTGCCGATGTGACTCTGTCAGTCTGTGAAAAAGAGTGCCACATTAGTTTCACTTGTTAGTTCTTATTTCCACATACAGGATTTAAACAGATGAATCAGCCCCCAAACAAATAACCTTGTACAAAACACCAAATTGGAAGTTAGTCATCTCCTATTGTTGCTTTATTTTTCATCCACTAAAAACAGACATTCTCCTTCTTGAATCACCACCATATTGTGGTGGATGAGTTTGTACATGTGAATAATCCTAGGAGCTATATTGTCCAGGACAATTGTAATTGCCCCTGGTAGGGTCTCTCAAGGCAGAATTGTTCTAGGTGACAGGCCAACTAAAGAGTGATTCCAAAGACTCAAATGGGCAGAAATCAGCAAGGAGCTCAGTGTCTCTTGCCCAGACTCTCTCTCTCTCTCTCAACCTTTATTTAAACAGATAAGTCACATTGAGCCTCGGAGACTCATTTACAAGTGAGACCTGTTTGACATGGGATACTGTGGTGTGTCCCTGCGTCATTTATGTCCAGGTGTGTCTAAATAATTAATTTGCTCTGTTTCTGAACAGCTAATTGGCTGAGGATGGTTTACAAGGACCAAGCTCCGCCTACTGGATGATCGAGGGAGGCCGAAGGAGTGATGTTGTTCTGATGGTTGTTGGATTTCGCACCAGCTTCGCTCCCACTCCTGTCAGAAACACATGCGGTTTCACCTTGTCACCGAATCATTGAGCTATTTGTTGTTGGGACTGGGAGTTACCAGCTGTCACTGTATTTATGGTTTTTGATTGTAGGGTTAGTCCTTGGGTCATAGGGCGAGGAGAGCGGCCCTAATCCGACGGTCAACTGCTGGCTTGTTCGACACTTCTCCCTTTTTTGTTTGTTTTAACCACGGCTCCCCATTTGCATTTGTGTTCAAGTGATTGATAATTAAAGTTTTGTCTAAACTTTACAATCGTCTGAACTTCATATGTTGTGCATCTTGCCATTTACTCCTGGACTTATCAGGACAACAACACAAAAAAGGTTTGTAAGCTCAATCATCCAAGTAGATAAACAAGTAGATAAACACAGCAATGAAGTAACCTTCATTGCTGTGTTTCAAGCCAACCTCCTGTTGGAATCTCAAAAGCAGGCAACACATGCAAAAGGACCCATCTGCCCAAAACAATCAATCATCATGTATAAAAATCAAATGTTTTAGGACAAATGGCAGACTTGTTACACACAGAAACAGCCTGAGGACACCAAGGCCAAAATTGTTCAGAAAAAAGGTTTGTAAGCGTAAGGTAGATAACAACAAAAAAGGTTAAATCATGTTATCTGAACCAGTTTATTTAAGGGATAAATGATTCGTCTTTCATCTGGAAGACTGCATCAGTTGTTGGACTTATCAGGACCATAACAGTTACCAGGGCCCCACTGTGGAGCCAGGCCTTGGGGAGGAGCTTGTCAGTGAGCACCTGGTGACCAGGTCTCTATCCATGGGGCCCAGTCAGGCTCAGCTGGAATGTGCAACATGGGTTTGCCTTCCTGTGTGCCCACCACCAGTAGGAGGGGCCATACGGGTCAGATACATGGGCTGTGGTCGAAGGCGGTAGTCTTGGGCTCTGACCTTGGCCTACCAAACCTGGCTTTTGGGAAATGGAACATAACCTCTTTGGTGGGGAAGGAGCTTGAGCTTGTGTATGGGGTTGAGAGATCCCGAGTTGGGCTCACCTCAACACATAGCATGGGCTTCAGAACCAATCTCCTTGAGAGGGGCTGGAACTTATTTCACTCTTGAGTTTCCCATGGCGAGAGGCATCAAGCTGGTGTAGGTTTACTTGTAGCCCCTTGACTTGGTGCCTGTGTGATGAGATTTTCCCTGGTAGATGAGAGGGAAGCTTCCCTGTGCCTTTGGGTGGGGGGACGGGCTCTGACGGTTGTTTGTGACTATGCACCAAATGGCAGTTCAGAGTATTTGGCCTTCTTGGAGTCCTTGGCGGGGTTGCTGGAAGGTGCACTAGCTGGGGATTCCTTTATTCTGTTGGGAGACTTCACGTGAGTAATGACAATGTGGCCTGGAGAGGCGTTTAAGTCTACCAGACAGACCCGGTAGACCCAAACATGTTGTGAGGGTTTGCTAGGAATGCCAGGCAGAAGGACCCATCAGAGAGATCTTTAACTCACACCTCCAGGAGAGCTTTAAGGTGGGGGACATTGAGTCTTAGTATATCATGTTCCATGCTTCAATTGGTGATGTAGCTCCCTTGAGCTGTGGCTGCAATGTTGTTGGTGCATCTTGCTGTGGCCATCCTCGACATTGGTGGTGGACACCCTAGGTTAGAGAGGCTGTCAAGCTGAAGGATGAGTTCTATCAGGCCTTGTTGGCTGGTGCAACTCTGGAGGAAGCTGAGAAGTACCGGAGGGTCAAGCAGTCAAAGCCATGTATTTTGCTGAGGCAAATCCTTGGATGTGGGATGAAGTGAGGCCTTGGATAAAGACTCTCAGTTGACTCTGAGGATATTCTGGTTTGCAACTATCAGATGGCTGAGGAGAGGAAAGCAGTGCTTTACTAACACTGTGTTCAGTGAAGGTGGGATGTTTTAGACCTCAACCAGTGTTATCATTGGGAGGTCAAATGCTTACTTTTTGGAGTTTCTCAGTCCCACTTGCATGTCTTCCATGTAGGAAGCTGAGTTGGGGGGACTTCAGGGTTGGCCTGTCCATAACTGTGGCTGAGATCCCAGAGATAGTTAAAAAGCTCAGCAGTGGCAGGGCTCCAGGGGTGGATGAGATTTGCCATTATTTCCTTAAGGCTCTGAATGTTGTGGGGCTGTCTTGGTTGACACACCTTTGCAAAATGGCATGGACATCGGGGGTAGTACCACTGGATTGGCAGACTGCGGTAGTGGCTCTCCTCTTCAAAAAGGGGGACCTTAGGGTTGTGCTCCAATTATAGGGGCATAACACTCCTTAGCTTCCCTGTTAGTGTCTATCCAGGGGTACTGGAGAAGTGAGTTCGACTGCTGGTTAAACCTCAGATCTAAGAGGAACAATACAGATTCTGTCCTGGCCGTGGAACACTAGATCAGCTCTTTACCTTCATCAGGGTCCTCGAAGGGTCATGGGAGTTTGCCCATCCAGTCTGCATCATGTGTTTTGTGGACTTGGTGAAGGCTTTTGACTGTGTTCCTCAAGGTACACTGTGTGTGTGTGTGTGTGGTGGTGGTGGTGGTGGTGGGGGCTCTGTGAGTATGGGATTGGGGGCCTGTTCCTACGGGCTGTTAGGTCTCTATGCAACCTGTGCATTGCTGGTAGTAAGTCAGGCACCTTCCGTGGGGAAGGTAGAATCCACCAGGGCTGCCTGCTGTCACCAATTCGTTTCATAACATTTATGAACATAATTTCTTGGTGCAGTCAGGGGGTGGAGGGAGTCCGGTTTGGCAGACTCAGGATTCCATCTCTGCTATTTGCAGATGATGTTCACCTGTTGGTGTCATTGTGGTGTCAATGATCTTCAGCTCTCACTGGAGTGCTTCACAGCCGAGTGTGAATTGGCTGGCATGAGAATCAGCACCTCCAAATCAGAGGCCATGGTCCTCAGTCAGAAAAGGGTGGATTGCTCTCTTCAGTTCGAGCGTGAGGCTCTGCCTCAAGTGGAGGAGTTCAAGTATCTAGAAGTTTTGTTCACGAGTGAGGGAAGAATGAAGCATGAGATGACAGACAGATTGGTGCAGCATCTTTAGTATTGGGGACTCTGCGCCAGTCTGTTGTGGTGAAGAAGGAGCATGCTGTAAAGCAAAGCTCTTTGTTTACTGATCAGTCTACATTCCTCCCCTCAGCTATGGCCACAAAATCTGGGTAGTGACCAAAATAATGAGATTGTGCATATAGGTGGTTGAAACGAGTTTCCTCCTAAGGGTAGCTGGACTCACCCTTAGAGATAGGGTGATAATTTCAGTCATCCGGGAGAGACTCAGAGTAGAACCGCTGCTCCTCCACATTGAAAGGAGCAAGTTGAGGTGGTTTGGGCATATGGTAAGGATGCTTCATAGGCATCTAACTAGGGAGGTGATTCAGGCATGTCCGACTGGGAGGGGACCCCCGGGAAGACCCAGGACACGCTGGAGAGACTATGTCACTCGGTTAGCCTGGGAACACCTTGGAATCCTCCCAGAAGAGCTGGAAGAGGTTGCAGTGGAAATAAATATCTGGGCCTCCCTGGTCAAGCTGCTACCTCTGCGACCCGACATCGGAACAAGCGAAGGAAAATGGATGGGTGAATTGATAAACACAAACATCAGAGTGAAACAAGGAAAGATGGATGGCATGGCCTTTATACCAAACTCATAAGTTTAGAGGGAAAATATTAAGCATGCTTGTGATTACTGCTCAGCCCACATCAAAGCTTCTCCCTCACAGCTCGGTTTCTTTTGAGTGTTACCAAGGTGATGAGCAGTGAGAACAAAGGCGGGTGAGAAATAGTAAAAAGCCCAGGGTGATTGTGAGGTAGTTAGTCTACATTATTAGGTTGTGGGAATTATTGAATAGCTGTTACTTATCAGGGTTCATTATTCGGAGAAAAACAAAAAACAAAAAAAACAGTGAATAAGGATGCGATGTGGGAGAAGAGTGAGAGTTTTGGTGAGTTGTGCTTGCTTTGAAAAAAAAAAGAAGGAAAAATGAAAGCTCTTTATGAGCCTCATTATGGACCTCTCTAAGGCAGAGCAATAGGGTGATTTGCAAAAAGGCTATCATAACATTTGGTCAAATTAACACAATGAAATGTCAATAATGTGCGCTGTGAGCTGTTATGGAAATCCATTTCCATAATAAAAAGAATATGGTTTACGAATATATCTAGAGACCAGACAGTGAGGCAAATGTGTCTTAATTCAATAGGCCAATGATGACACGTTCTCAGAGTATAATGTAAACACAGAAGACATTTCCTCAACCTTTGATGAATAATGTGAAAATAACCTCTTCAGCAAGCATTAAAGAAAAAAAAAAACTTTAAAGTCATAGTCCAACATATTGTATGCAGA